TTTAAGATAAAGATAATAATGAAATTTCAAAAATCTTGAAAGTAAATTAAGTTGGAGGTTGATGTTTAAGAACATTATAATGAATATATATCAAACAAAACGGTGTATTATATTTGGGTACTTAAGCTTATATACCTTTAAGGGTATATTCACTTTTCCATATATATATATATATATATATATATATATATATATATATATATGGGAAAAGTGAATATACCCTTAAGGGTATATAAACTTAGGTACCCAGAGTCATCATACTATGTTGTTTGTATCATATGTATACATTGTGATTGTTCAATGTTCTTATAATTCAACTTCTAACTTGATTTACTTCTAAGATTTTTAAAAATTTCACATTTATCTTCCTCTTACGTAATTTTCATTTTCAACTCTAATATATATAACCTAATAGGTGTTCGGCAAAAAGATGTGATATAAGAGGAAAACAATAGTAAAATTTCGAAAATCTTCAAAGTAAATCAAGTTAAGGTTGAAGTTTAATAACATTATAATGAATATATCAAACAAAACAACTAATTATAGTGGGTTTGGGTACCTAAGCTTATATACCCTTAAGGGTATACTTACTTTTCCCTATATATATATATATATATATATATATATATATATATATATAGGGTAAAGTGAATATACCTAACAACCTTATATAAACTTAGGTACCTAACTCCATAATACTACATCGGTTTGTATCATATTTACATTGTAATTGCCTAAGGTTCTTAAACTTCAACCCATAATTTGATTACTTCCAAAATCTTTGGATTTTCAGCAATATCTTTCTTTTACATCACATCTTTCTATCGAATACCACCTATGGGCTTCATCTCCTACCGTTACAAATGAAAAAATGTAGGAGAAATATAATGATGAATTTCCAAATTTTTTTGAAGTAAATCAAATTTAGGGATGAAGTTTAAGAACATTTGATGATTGCAATGAAAATTTAATGCAAAATGACGTAGTTTGATAATGTTAGACACCTAAGCTTATATAAAATTGTTAGGTATATTCACTTTACCAATATATATATATATATATATATATATATATATATATATATATATATATATATATATATATATATATATATATATATATATATATATATATATATATATATATATGATTAGATTGATTGATTTCGAAATGAAAAATAGCTAAAAGAAAGAAATAGCTAATAGCTCAAAAAAAGTCGGGTTATATGTATAACAATGTGGTTCTTCACCAAACAACCATATTCAACACATCGCTAGGATTGACCAGGAAGGAGCTCCACCGTAAGAGTGTCCTACCTCTTTATTTGGCATCTCTTCTAGAAGGTAAGACTATCCATTTGGGTTTCTCAACACTCTTGCAGAGAAAATTAGAAAGTCCACATTTGTAGTTCTCTTTCCCACTGTGAAAGCCTTGCAAAGGCTATGTGGTCAAACAGTTAATTGTCTGTATGTTTTTTTTTTAGAAATCAATTAAACTAACCATTATAAATGAAATATTAAAAAAATATTTTTTTTTTTAACTTTTTGAAAATGACCACGGATTCCGGAATACCACAATCCGGGGAGTAATGATGTTCGTTCCAGAGTTGGTGGCGGTTGGCAGAAGTATTGTTCAGAATCAGACACCAATCATTTCAAATTGGAAAAGTATATACCGGAGCACTTGTCTGGAATACACACACAGACATTCCAAATTTATGTTTGGAATTGTTAATATTAGGATATTTATATTGCTATTTTTATTGGATAAAATAATAAACCTTTTGGATACTAAAAAAATGAGTTTGTATAATTAATTTTTTAGAATATTTGTTTCTAATGGAGGACAATAGGAACTAATCGAGCAATCTATGCAATATATTACTCCAGATTACATATCCATTGGGTGTAGATATTAGTAGTGATATCAAGTTATCAACTATTAAAAATATATGCCAAAAAAAAAAAATGAATAAGGTATCATTTTAACACTACTAAAAATCAATCCTTTTAACTCCGATTACCATGTTTTCTTTTCGTAAAATATGTTGTTTTTAACAAGTTCATTGTATTGACATATACTCCTCGATGATCGGATATCAGTAATGCATGGTTATAAGCTTCATGTTAAAATAAGTGCAAAATAAATAAATAAATAAAGTACCATTTTGATACTATTAAAAATCAATCGTTTTAAAACTCCGAATAACATGTTTTGTTTTTTGTTTCTTTTTTCCTAAAATACGTTATTTGTAACTAATTCTTTGTATCGACATATCACACTCGCAAATTGGATATCGGTAGTGCACGGTTACTCTGCTCCAATGTGGGCATCATGTTAAAAAAACCAAACACAAAAAAAGCATGAATTACAATTTTGACACTATAAAAAACAATTGTTTTAATTTTGATTTCCACGTTTTTTTTCTTCAAAAAATACGTTGTTTATAACTAGTTCTTTTCATAGACATATCATACTCGCAAATCAGATATTAGGAATGTATACTACATAAACTCCAAAGTAGGCTTCATGTTAATTTAACTTTCAAGTTTGTTTTTAGAAAATAAATAAATATAACTTTTCATGAACAACGACAACTAACAAGGTAGGTTTATAAAAATCGTAGTATTGAAATAATAATAATAATAATTACAAACTATTAGCATTGAAATAAGAAAATAATAATATTAAAAATTAGTAAAATTCTATTAATATTTTTTATTATATCTTAAACGGTAGAAAAAAATAAAAAATAAAACACACACACACAAAACTGTATATTTCAACACCTTGTCTGTATTTTCCTTAACATAGTCATTAATTTTATTTTTCCATTGACTTACTCAATTCTCCATAATTATGATGCCATAAATAGCCCCTAAACTATAATATAAAATACAAATATTTTTATATAATAAAATAAATAAATAATAACTAAATGAATAAAATACCTATTCCAGTTGTCTGGGTTTTCAACACCCATAACCATTCTATTGTTATTATATTTTCCAAGAAATCTACTATTCAAAATACGTAGTACACAAGCTTTTGATGACATCTTCTTCAATTAACAGTATCAAAACGCTGACTAGATAAAATTCTGCCAAGTCTCCTATGCTTGATGTAGTGTTTGTACTTTTCAAGAATACCCGTGCTCAAAGCAACGAATGTCGTTGTCTTTTTTTATAACAATATTCCATTTCTTCTTATGTTTTGGACACCTTCCAAACCGTGGATCAAGCATATTGTTCGACACCAAATGATATACCATATCTAGATATATTAAAGTATAGTTGTTCTTCCACATCCATTTCCTAACTGATGGAGAAACAAACCACAAATAAGTAATGCATCGCCTTTTCTATGCGGTATTTCTAACCATTGTCCAAATGAAATCGTCCTAAATAGTTGACGATGTGGAGCATTTAAACTACTTAGGACCTCCAATAGTTTAGGGCAAGAAGCTTTTATTGTTACACTTGCATGTAGTTCACGTGCTGGAAAATTCAAGACAAATTAACCTAATAAAAAATCCAAAAGATGAACAAAACTGAAAAATGTGCCTCATCTTTGATTTCATAGCATAATATGCGCTTTGTTCTTCATCATTTGGACATTATTACCTAAAACCATACAAGCTACTTGTACATGTTCATAGGATAACACATAACAACACAAAAAATCGGAAATATGAGATGAAACCAAGAGCGATATTGCATATAGCATTTCCATCTGTGATGGTACAAGTTTGTAATAAACGTATTATGCATTATAGACTTGTACCATCGTAAATGACAATGCCATCTCCAGTTTCGTTTTTGGTTTCATCATAAATTTCAATGTTTGGTAAATAAAAGGCCAAGCAACATAAAAAAAATTATGAAATAAGATCCTATAAATAACTAGCAATTAAAACATCACTTACTACATTGTTGAGTTCTTTCGGAGAAAGATCGGAAAATAGCCTACAAAATTTATAATGATCAAGCCGTGAAACCATAGACGGACCACGAAACTGCAACCTTTTTAATGAAATCGAAGCCATGTTATGCCCGTATATGAACAAACTCAAGACAAATTAGCAAAACTATAGATAAGATAACTCATCTAACTATTTATTGAAAACCTTACTTTTTGGCTATTAAGTAAGAACTCATTAGTGTATTAGGCTAATTAACTTGTAAATTATATTAAATTTAGAAGTTAAAATTTTATAAAAACTAAAAGCTCACAAAAACTTATTGAAATAACTTTTGAATTCATAGTATTTCCTTTAAATTAATAATTTTAAGTCCGTAATTCCAAACAAAGTTTTTTATTTAGTTCAAATTTTGTTAATAATTACAAAAGGCTTTTAAAAGATATCTGCCAACACGCTCGCATCTTAAAACATCATATGTTAGAAACCCATAAAGCAATTAGATCAAATATATTTATAATTTTTATATTAACTAGATTATAACATACACTAAACGCATGAGAACGCATAAAAACATACAAATCGTTTAATGACCTATTTGTAGATAACTTTTTATATTAAAAAGAATTTGATGTATTAATGAGTTAAATGAATTTATTAAATTCTCCAATACATATATTGAACAAAATTAATATCATAAAACAAAATAAGACATGAGTTGATGATTAAAACTATAAATTAAAAAAATAAAGTATTCAATCATAAAGTAATATAAAATATTAAATATCTTAATGAGAAAAAACAACGGTTTTCAAAGACAAATTAAAATATAAAAATATTTCATTACTTTAATAAAGTTTTGTGTTAAACATAATCATTCAATGACAATATAAGAAGCAAAACATGTTAATAGTAATATAAATAAGTGAACATAAATCTGAAATTATCTTAAAACAACACGAAAATCATCATGTTAAAAACAAATGAAAATAAACATAAAATTGTAATAAAGAAATTACTTCTAAAACAAATCCATAAGCAAAAAATAAAAACTACTAAAAAAAGTCTTCAAATTAAAACCTCAAATAATGATTAGCTTTTCCATTTTTGAGATCTTCAACGTAGGAGGAGCAACACCATCTTTCGAAAAAGAACATTCAAATGATTCAGTGGTGGTAACAATCTCAATAAGGCGTTTGATTGAAGTAGTTATTGGTGTGACCACATCAAGATCTACAACATGAATATTGTCACCATCAATCGAAACACTCTTATTTGTACAAAATTAATATAAAGAAATGTTAACAATATATTATTCTTAAAAATGTTAAAATTCTAACTTATATGTATTATTTTTTTTACCTTAATACACTTGTTAGTAGGAGTACCATCAGAATGAATGGTGTCTTGTTCATACGCAAGTAAATGTTTGAAAACCACACCAACCACACCTTCATCAATAGTCATCTTATGAACAATGTATGTGTGATAATTGTTTTAGAGATTAAACTTTGAAATTTGTACATTTAAAAACAAACTTACTATTCACAAAGCTATTAAACTCATCAGGGATATTTTTGTTGGATCTATATGCTCAAGAATCATTATGAAGTAATATTGCTAATAATATATGATCCTATAGGGTCATACCTTTATCAAGTTGGCATAATTTGTATATTTATTATTAATATGATTATTAATAAATAATATCAATTCTTGTATTTTAATTAGAGAATAATTATTGTTTTATGAAAATAATAATTATAATAGAGAGTATAATTAGTTATTATTTCATATGTTATGAATTAATAAGTCATGAACAGTATTTTGGACTAGTTGGATTCTTTTGTCTTTTATCTAAAGACAAAGTTTATATTTTATAAACTTTGAGTTTATAAAAAATAAAGAATCTTTCCTTTTTAAAAGGTATGACCTAAAATATTAAAATATGGAGGTTGCTTTTCAACCTCCATGCTTTGTCTCCGATGCTTCTATTGGCTAGTCATTACTTTAGAGTATTTTAATAGTTAAACCTTACTTTTCATGGGCTATATAAGAGATGCATGGGGCTTGCATTTTTGCAAGAGTAAAACATTTCTTTCTTCCTTTCTTCTCTCTAAAACCGTTAAGTGTGGAGATGCTTCATCTCCAAGCATTTTGATGCTTTACTTTGGTATTTAGAAGACCTCTTGCGTTATTCCCTTTAGTGCTTATTTAAGTTAAGCACTTAAAGGTTTAAGACACTCAAGAATATAAGAAGGAACTAGCATTTCAAGTGCCTTACTCTTGATGGTGGATACTTGTAGAGAAGATCATACACTTTGATCTTTTGTTATCTTCATCAACACCCCAAAACCATGTGGATTCAAGGGCTTTAAATGTTATCTCTAAAACATCCTATGGTTGGTTTTCTTTCATTCCAGCCTCTATAAATGGATCCATGATGGTTCAGTTTTGTTATAAAATAAAAATAAACTTGTTATTTCACCTTTGATATCTTTTGCATCAACCACTGATTACCACGGTGAATAACATCTTTAACATGATGGTCAAACACTACAAAAGAAGCAAACCCATATTGAACACGAATTATGACCCTCACCCTAAAAATTATAAAATAATACTTTAATGGAGAATGAAATAAAAACGAAACATTCAAATATAGATTAATGGCACAAGAGCTTTACAAATGTAAAATTATGAACTTACTTGCCGTAAACATCAGAAACTCTACCACAACCATCACAAGTAATTGGTTCAGTATTAGTATCATCATCATTATTACTTACTTTTTTTGAACACGGCAATAAAAAGAATATCAACCTTTGTCTAATTTAAAACCGATGACAGTAGCAATGATGGACAAACCAATTTCCTATTTCATAATTTTTTTTTATAAAATAATTTCATATATATATATATATATATATATATATATATATATATATATATATATATATATATATATATATATATATATATATATATATATATATATTCATTGTGTTATGCAGCATAAATTTATAAAATTATGGAAAAATATTAATACTGTTAAGCATTGTAATATGAAATATCATCAATGTTCTTGATTAGAAAACGAAGGTAGTAATCCTCTGGCGTGGCCACAACAATATCGATGTTAAGGTGTGTAGTACTAACAGAAGACTCAACATTCAAATCCATATTAGCAATACTACATATAAGAAGAAAAAAATAAAGAAGTTAAACAATAGAAATAATTAATGATTAAGAATAAGGAAAAAAACATTAAACTATTAATTAATGATAAAAGACATATGTTTTTTTGAATTCTAAAATATGAGGCATATCATCATTATTATGCGCTCTCGACCAAAACAAATAGTTACCGACGTCAGGCTGACCTGGAAATAACTATTAAAGTTATATATGAATTTATATTATAAATAACATATTAATGTAAAGACATGGACATGTACAATAAAAAAAATATTCTTACAACCCTAAGTTTGGAGCTTTTCCATGAAGGATTATAACAACTGCATTATCATTTTGATGTTCCGATATATATAGTTGTTCAACTTCAATGCAAAACCATCCCACAAAGCAACTTGTATTTTTCTACCACTATAAATGAATGGTTGGGTTATATGAAGATAAATATTAAACATGGTAAATTATTAAAAAATAAAAAAATATCTTAGATTGATAAGCAATTATATTCATCAACCTTTTTTTCCATTGCATTGTCCATAATCACTCGCATGAGATCAGTAGATACAACTTGACCAATAAAACTTGCAAAAGAAAATGTAAGATATTATTATATTATAAATTTGTTTTAAAAGTAAAATATAAGATATAAACATGTGAAACTTTTAAAGGAAAAAACTTACCAAATGCAACATGAGTGTCAAAATTTATAGCTGTCAAATCGCCGAACTTACAAAATTAAAAGGATCGATCCTATCAACAAAAGCATCTGATACACGAACAATGATTGTTTTGTAGAAATTTATCTTATGCTTATGACTAACCAACATGTAATCTCCTTCGTTTCTAACCATACCAAATTTAGTGATTTCCCTAACAGCTCCTCCATCGAACAGGGCTTGAAATACATTTATGAAATTCTTTTGATTGTTGTTTGTATTTTAGTGCTTTGTAGGTGATAACCAAGGTTGTTTTATTGAAAATAAAAAATTTATACTTTTATTTACTAAAATGATACCTGTTGGTCCATTAAAATCATGTCCAAGTTGCTCACCATGTTTGGGTTGTTTTTGTAAGTCTGCTTCCAAACCATGACTATCTAAACACGTATATTCCATGTTTCCTTCGATGTATCAATTTCAACAAGACATTCAAGATGATTTCATTGCCACTGTTATGTGCCATTCCGCCTTCTGCAAAAACATAATATAATTGTATTTATGATTCAGAAGTACACTGCTATAAGGGCATAATGGTCAACTCACTTTGAAGGATAATTGAAAGTAGGATGTTATTTTGTCAAATGCCATCAAGGTTTAAAATGGTCCTTTTAAACTATTATATAACAACTACATAAATGGTCCATGTAAACTGAATTGTTTAAAAATGGCAATTTATCACACCAAATGATTAACAAAAAACACAAACACATAATAACAATAGTAATTAAAAGAAATGGTCATGTAAACTGAATTTTTTTTTACAAAATGGCCCTTAGTTCTATTAATATCATTGTAATCATAGTAATTACATAAATGATCCCTATAAAACAGAAAATAGAAATGCACAAATTCAAAACATTACAAATTAAAGTCAAAGTACATTGTTATTAACTAAATCTGTTAAAAGCAAAATAGAGAATGCAATGCACTTTGTATCCACTAAACACAGTTATAAAAACTCAAAAAAATTTTGAAACATATAAGGGCACAATGGTCGAATCAATTTGAAGGATGATTGAAAGTAGGATGTTATAGTGTTAAATGCATATTTATACATAAAACTTAGGGTATGTTCAGGACCTGCTCCCCCCATTAGCCTCCGTATTTTTCAAAACTGTATTACATGAACATAGATTAAGGTCTTAGCTTTAAAAGTAATATTCGCACACCTCCATATGAATTTCGTACAATTTATGGAGAATTTTACAAATTTGTCTAGCGTAGCAGATTCTTCCGGACCGGTTTGGGTAAATGGTAGTTTTTACAATTAATAAAAATTAAGAACATCATATTAAAGAATAAACCTGGATGACGAACATGATGCTGAAAAGGGTGATGTTGTTCGAACGTGATGTTGCAAAGGGGTTGAAGAAAACATAATGTATGAACAACAACACATGGTTTATATATAACTTTCAAAAATGATTGTAGAAAGCATATCAAATTTCGAATTCTTTGATTCTTTAAAATTAAGAGATGATATCCCGTAATCATATAGATACGTTTCATGTAATAGATGTGATTTGAAAGAATATACGAAAGGTGCCAGCTAAGAACATGATTTTAATTAGGAAGGAATGGAATTTACTTTCAAAAATTATGATAAGGTTTAAATGAGTTGAATACATTCATTTTATAAAATGATGTTAACATTAAATCAGTTAGTCAAGCTTTCAAATTTAGTCAGTATTAATTTAATTTAATTTTATATTAATAGAAAAAAGCATGATTTGCCAAGTGTAAGAAAAGGAAATGTGAAAAATACAGTTTTACCCTTTGTGGATTAAATTCGTTTATAAAATCCATCCATTTAATAGCCAATAAAAGATCAATAAAAATAGTCATTTAAAACATGAACCATTAACAGGTTGTTTAAGATATTTTGAAAGTACATTGCTATAAATGTTATAAATTGATTTTTATTATCAAATTATAATTTATCAACAGAAAATATGATAATATTTAATTTAAAAGAATATGTTAGTGTATCTATGAAAGTAGGATGCTAACAACATAACATATACACAAAAGGAAAAAACATATCTATGAAAGTTCAAGTTTTAAATGTGTATTTTGTTTGTTTGGCTTAAGATGCTATTTAAATCAAACTACAAATACCTTTGTCTATTTGAAAGAACATATGGCATGTTTATAGATAGTTGAAAGTACATTACTGTTAAAGAGTTTATGTTAATTGAATGGCAATGAATATCATTAAACTTTCAATTTTTGTCAAATATAGCATCTTGCTTTCAATTTTATGTTAAGCATGTAAAAATTTGAAAACACGGTCATTCTATATAGAATTGAACTTTTAATTTATGTCAAATATAACCATTTTAAAATATATAGTCCTTGTTAAAATATAATGGCAAAAATGCTCCCTTTGAAAAATATAATTCCAAAAACGGTCATTGTTTTTACAAAGAGTCAACTATTGATAAAAAAAAAAAGAACAATGTTTATATAATAATTTAAAATCATACTTTTTTGAAAGGCATCAAATACATAGATATTCATTTTAGAGGAAGTGCAATTCTATAAAATATAATTCTATAAAGTGATTGAGTAAAGGAACGCACTCAATTTGACCATTATACCCCCAATCCTATTATATATAGCACCATACATAGTATAATGATATATTTGTAAAGTAAAAGAAAGTAGGATGCTATTTAATGCATTCGGAACACTTAAATCATGATATATCTATCATGGGAGATTTCATAGTTGCAAGACAAATCATTTTAAAGCACATTGCTATAAAGAAAACGACTAACTTTCAGTTGTTTCCAAAATAACATCATGCTTTTAATTAACTCCATTGTTGTATTTAGGTAGCTAACAATCTAAAGTACACTGCTTTTAAAACAATTAATTAGAAACTACAATGCTATTCCATATCATTATACTTATAATTGTTTCTTTTTAATACATTTTACAATAATCAGAAATAAATAGGCTCAATAGAATACCTAATTCCAACCACTACTTCCATATTACATAACCACAACTTCAATTTGCTGCTTGGTTCTTTTCAACTTGTCATCATCCTCCTTGGTGACAGGTGGAGTTGTTGTTGTGTCACTGAAATCTTCTAGGCTGACTTCAGGAGTGGTTGTCACTGTTGCCCGAGGATCCTCTAGGATGGTTGTGGTTGTTGGAGAATTATCATCAGTGGTGGTGGTGATAGCAGGCGGTGTTGCTGTTAATTGAGAGTTTTAAAGGGTATCAGGAGGAATTTGGGTTTGTGTTGTGGAAGTGTAGTTTCCTTGTATATAATTTTTAAGCTCATCAAGGTCAATTTCCTTTTCAAGGATGCTCTTGAATTCTCATGAAACTTCCTATTTTGAAGTAAATCGTGTGTTTCAAACATTGAATCAGTATCTAATTCTTATTCTTCAAGTTGCGATAAATAATCACTTTGAAACCACACATTCAAACATGAATTACCTGTAGTTCCCTAATTGTGGGTTGAAATGAACGTAAAGTTTTTCCCAAAGTTTTAGCAACCTGGGAGTTAGGTGTTAAAATGTTAAGATTGACACAAAGATAACATCCTAAAAGAGTAAAAGAGATAACAAAAATTAGAAGATTACAAAATGAAGTTTTTGGGATATACACTCACCTCGGCAAGACCTTTAGGGTCAAAAACTAACAAGGTAACAACTCTAATCACTAAAGCTTCAGGAGATCCAACTCCAAATAAAGATGCGAAAAAACCCTTTCCTTTACATTTCTTTCTCTTTTCTACAACCACCAAATCAACTCAATCATTCAAGTCTCAGATCCAATGAAAGTTTGTCAAAATTTCATGGTGAATTTTATAAGTAATGCATACAACACGATATAGGTGATGAATTGGTAACGAATCTTCTCATTGATGGTGCCTAATTAGTAATCAAAAAACAAAATTAGGGGACTCAAAAGAGAAGAACAGGCAGCTAAAGCCTAAAAAATTTCAAATTCCAACAAAGTAATGCATCCTGGATTCAAAGTCGTAAAAGAAACTACGTATATTCGAATTCTATAATTGACAAACTATAAGTATTATGATACCTGCAGAACCACGTTCAATAAGCAATTGTTGCTGAGATTTTGCAATTCGTGAATGACCCACAATTTCTAAGGCAAAGATTCGCTCTCAGACGACAACGATTGAAATTTGCAATCAAGATGAAGTAAGCCGGTTGGATGGTGTTTTAGATTAAAAAGGATGGTGTATGCATGTTGTTAATTGTTTTTTTAGGATGATATCAACAAAATAATCTAAGTATTGAAATTAATCATGGAAAGCCACAATAAAATCATGATTGTTTAAGATGATGTGAGCTGGTTTCTCATTTATAGAGATAGAGATATAAAGATAGACATGGAATAAAAAAATACATATCAACTAAATTTAACGTGGACTTCGGTTACATGAGTTTTAACTTTTTTGAATTGAACCCATGAAGCTTCATCTCAATTGTTAATTTCCTTTGTGTGCAACTACGTTGGGGTGTTTGGTTTATCTTTTTGAGAGGCAAAAGTTATTTTTGGAAAAGTTACAAAAAAGTCAGGTTTTACTAACATTTCCAAAAACTCAGTTTTTCTTATATCCAAAATCCAAAAGTAGCTTTTAAAATATTTTTACCAAACATTTTTTTTTATATTTTATCTTTTCCAAAAAGGACTTTTGCCTCTCACAAAGATAAGTCAAACACCGGGTTGAATAACACTAACAAAACATAATATTAAATAAAACAATTTCTTTTGAAATTCATGTCATAATGGTCCGTCACGATCAACAACTTTTTTGCCTTAGTGGTTTGATTATTAATCTAGACTTTTTTTGCCTTAGTTCAAGAACAGTCTCGTGGACAACGCCGACCACCTCTCTTCTTGGTCAGGTGGTTTTAATAGCACACCCTCTTTGAGGACTCTTCGTATTTCAAGAAACGCTTTTGCAATTCTTCTTCATTTCTTAACGGGTTGTCCAACTTAAATAATCTCTGTTTTCTTGATGTTAGTTTCTGCGATATTTATGATCCAATTCTTGTCAAACTTCAGAACCTGTCTCTAGTTGCTCATCTTGATCTATCACACAACCATATCGTTGAGGAGATACCTAAATCTTTCAGTAGTCTCTGTAACTTGACAACCCTTAATCTCCGATCCAACAATTTTTCGGGTGACGTGTCTGAGCTTCTTGAAAGATTTTGTGATTGTGATTCACCTAAACTGGAATTGATAGCTTTAGGTGGCAATCATGTCACTGGCCGACTCCCAGAAAAACTTTGAAGATTGAAGAATCTGATGAGAATTGATCTCTCATCCAATAAGTTAACTGGGATTCTTCGACGTTCATTAGGAAGTTTGTCACTGTTGAAGATATTACAGCTTAATAGAAATCAACTCGAGGGTATAATCCCGGATTCAGTTGGTGATCAATCCTCGTTGGAACTTTTGACACTTTCCTACAACAATTTAAACGGAAGTCTTCCTAAAAGTGTTGGAAAACTTGGGAAACTAAGTTTTCTAGAACTTCATCACAATTTGTTGACAGGTATTGTGATGGAAAACCATTTCGCGAATCTAACGGCGTTGGAAGCATTGTGGGTCGGGGACAATAAGTTAGCGTTTAACCTAGTCAACAACAGTTGGAACCCGCCATTCAACCTCAAAGTGTTGTGAATAGGTTCTTGTAGTTTAGGCCCACTTTTTCCTTTGTGGGTTCAATCTCAAAGAAACTTCGAAGAGTTGGATTTAGCAAATGCAAACATATCAGACACTATCCCGAATTGGATGTGGAGTACTTCTCTTTAGTAACGTTCTTGAACATCTCCCATAATAATATTATGGGAAAACTGGGGAAGGTTGATTTTCTTACACTGGAGGCAGTAGTAGATATGAGTTCTAACCTTTTCCATGGTGAGCTCCCTAGTTATTTCAATCAACCTGACTTTGCTTTCTTAGATCTTTCATCTAATAATCTTTCTAGATCTTTAGATCAGTTCTTGTGTTCTGGAATTCAACCATTGCAACAGTTAAATGTTCTTATTCTAGCAAACAATAGCATGTCAGGTGATCTACCAGATTGTTGGATGAAATGGGAATATTTGGTAGTCCTAAACCAAGAAAAAAACAGTTTATCTGGTAAAATCCCATCATCTTTGGGAAATACTTATCGGTTGGCATCACTAAACATAAGCACCTCGCTACTATCTAAATCACTCTTAAGCATCTCTAGCAGCGAAAGCCCTAAACTAAGGCATCATATATCAGGCCACTCTAGTCCTAATAAGAATACCTAGTCTACTCTAGCATGCATATTGTAACTCATCATATAGCATACATAACATATCTGATAATCACTTATTAGGAGGGTATTTTGGGAATCACCGTTTGGGCGCTGACTGATCGTGCACACGGCTCTGCTCTGTTTGTCTCAAGACTCTTTTTACTCTTTTTCAAAAAATATTATTTTTATTATTAAAAGTTTCATCAAATCCCCAGTTTGAGTTCAGATACGCTCGAAGATATATCCGAATCCCTCAAACCAAGGCTCTGATACCAACTTGTAACACCGTAAAAATTTGAACAATTTTTCACTTTTGTAACCCATAAAATATCATTTGAGATCATAAACAAAACATTGTATCAATACAAAACCCAAGATCAAAATATATATAAACTCCGATATGCGTGTGTACGAATCATGCCGGCGCCTTCCCGCGATCATCACTAGTACCTGAAACACATAACACGTAACACTGTAAGCATAAATGCTTAGTGAGTTCCCCAAAATACCACTCTAACACATAATAGCCACTCGAGGCTATAACTCTGTTGACCCTCAGATCTAGGTGTCTTAGTGGGGCCCTCCAGCCCCAACTCTCTATGGGGCCTTTGGCCCTAACTCTGTGGACCCGAATGTCCTAACTCTGTGGACCCGAAGGTCCTAACTCTGTAACTCTGAATCATGCATAACACATAATAAATCATAGCACATAAATAGCATGCAATTACTTTGGCATATAACTCTAAAATACTCTATCACATAACTCTGTTACCACACTAGGTAAAGTATAGTGAGAAGACTCACCTCAGGCGTCTCGGTAAATCTCTGAGTCGGTAGAAATATTGCCTAGTCTTTTCCTATTCACATAAAGTAAATACACTTATAAATATAACTCTCGAGACTAGATTCAACCTGCCAATGGCACCCTCAGGAGGGAAAAAGGCTATTTCACCCCCTCTCGACACAAGTATTCCATTGACCAAACCCTAAAAGTCAATGGTCACACTTTGACCCTACTCGCCGAGTGCACCCTGGTGACTCGGCGAGCTCACACATGTTCTTTAACACTTTATCCCGCTTGGCACGCCGAGTGCCTCCCTATGGTTGACAAGTCATACTAGGCATGAATCACGGGGCCACCACGACTCAACTCGCCGAGTCTCAAGAAGAACTCGGCGAGTACCGCCTTAAACTCCAGTCCTCTAACTCCTTTCTGACTCACTGAGTCACTCCCCAACTCAGCAAGTCTACTCACTATGCAATTTACGTGAAACCCTAACCGTACTCGCCAAGTCTCAGGAACAACTCGGCGAGTTTGTGCCATGCACAAACTCTACTGGCCTCCTGAGGTCAGATCTGTTTCCCTAAATCAAAGATCTGGCCTTCCCAAGCATGAATGTCACGCAAAGCTCGAAACTTGATGCTTGTATAACAACAACAAAGCATCAAAAGGAGATTTAGTCCCAAAAATGGCAACCTAAGTCCAATAACCCCAAACTGATTCATAAAGCTCCAAGGGTTAAGGTCTCTGGACCTCTTTAAGTCTAGATCCAAGGCACAAACTCGAAGAGGGTTAAGGTCTCTGCTTGAATCGCACCTCCCCTTTGCTCTTGTGCACCTCCTTCTTGCTAAACCAAAGGTACAAGAATCAAAAGTGACTTCTTCTTCCTCACAACGATTTGGCTCACTTTGGGTTCTCTCAAGGGATTGGTAGCCGCAATGAGAGGCTATAAGTGCCCTTAAATAGGCTCCAAACCCGGGGATTTAGGGTTTCATTAAACAGTGTGCACTCGCCGAGTCCACTCATGGACTCGCCGAGTCCAAAGTGAATCTGAATGAACAATCACGACCCTACTCGGCGAGTCTATGCATCAACTCGCTGAGTTCCTTCTCATAATTCAAAATAAATAAATATTAAATAATATACCTGGGATTCCGGATGTTACAATTCTCACCCACTAGAATCAGACTCCGCCCTCGAAGTCTCACTCTGGAAATAACTCCGGATGCTGCTCACGCATCTCACGCTCCGGCTCCCAAGTCAGCTCGGACCCCTTCCGATGTTGCCACTGAACCAAAACCAGAGGCACTTCCTTGTTCCTCAAAACCTTGATCTTCTGATCCCTGATCGCCACCGGTCTCTCAGCATAATTCATACTCGCATCCACCTAAATGTCCTCAAATGGCGCCACTGCCGACTCATCTGCTATACACTTCCGCAACTGCGATAAGCGGAAAGCATCATGAATCTGACCCAACTCTGCAAGAAGTTCCAAGCAATACGCTACCCTGCCCACCCTCGCGATCACTTTAAACGGCCTAATATACTGGGGTCCCAGCTTGCCCCTCTTTCTGAATCGGATCACTCCTTTCCAAGGATATACCTTCAGGAACACCAAATCACCGACCTGAAATCCGAGCTCGGATCGTCACTTATCAACATAACTCTTCTGGAGACTCTGAGCGGTCAACAATCTCTGCTTGACCTGCTGTATCTGCTCTGTCGTCTGAAGCACAATCTCCGTACTACCCATTACACGCTTCCCCAACAAATGGGGGTCCGACACCTCCTCCCATACAACAGCTCAAAGGGTGGCATACGAATGCTCGAATGATGGCTGTTGTGTCACACCCCCGAACCAGACGGCGGAAACGTCCGAGGGCTATCGTGACTCATTGAATACCATTACAATGCATATACATGAAACATCACATAAAACATCACCAACATTTGGAATAGTACAACCGTTAGTGTTTACATTCGTTACATTGTTCAATCGTTACATTCTCAAAATAACTGTTCGACTTCACTTAAACTACAGCAAACATCATAGAGTATAAATCATCCATCACCTTATCTGTTACCTGAGAATACAAGTATTTTGAAAAACGTCAACATACGAAATGTTGGTGAGTTCATAAGTAAAGTTTGAAAACCAATGTAATGTTTGAAACCCATCAGAAAATCCGATATTTTCTAATAATAAAATAGTATAAAATATGTGTTGATCCATGAATGTGCATGTTTGAATTCTTATTGATGTAAGTGTGATGGTTGTAAAAATATTTCGACCGGTAATTCATAATTTGTAATTGTTGAAAACCCTAGGAAAACCCGACGTTTTCCTGTCATTTTGTATTACTTATTTTGTATACCGTTGTTTCGTTTCGTTAGAGTGAATCATTGAGCTCCGGAGGCATTGAGAATACAATGGGTAGTGAAGTGTTGTGACGTACGTCGACGAAAACGTCCAATCGACAACCTTACAAGCGATCCCTTAGGCACCACTCGTAATTCTTCACACAACTCGATCCTCCCGGACTTGTGTAGTCCCACGACCGGAGGGAAGGAGAGAAGGTGCGAAACCCTCGGTATTTCCCCGCGTCGATTGGGATAAATGCAATTGCGAAGGGCCCGAAGCCCAACTCGCAATCGTGAGTTACCGACTTTACTAGCAGCACTGAAAAACCCTTGGGGTCCAGCAGTATGTATGCCATTGAAAGTCCTGTTACGTCATGTCGGATCGGTAAAACCCAACACTTCGTAAGTGAGAGAGAGAGACCTTCGGGCCTTAAGATCAGGTCATTGGGCTAGCTAGGCTCAATGAACAAGATTTTACACTTTTGGGCCCAAAGATGGTGCATAGACGTCTGCGCACACTCGCATTGTAATAGTAATCGTTATGGTTATGAATCGTAATGTCGTAATGTCATAGTATCGTCGTGTTAGTAGTTTTGGATTTTTATTGGTTCGAGACCGAACCAATTCGTTTGACAACGACTTTTGGTATTGCAATGTATTGTATTTCGTCGATAGGCGTAGTACCATCATTTGGTCAAATTACATGTATTGAACTAGCCTTGACAATTTTCTGTTTTCAGTCCCTCCTTATTTGTAAATTTACCCTTTTTACCCCTTTATTTAAAAACTTTCTGGTTTGGTCCTTAAATCAATTTTCTTGATATTTTAACACCAAAAATTATTGAAATAAGTATTTTCCAGCATATTTTTCATAGAAAACAGCTTAAGTCCTTGAAATTTCAGTTTTCTCGGTTATAACCCCTGTTTTTCGCAACTTTTACATTTTTGACCCAATTTGGAAAATTTTTACAATTTTGGTCCCTTTTAAATTTGAAAAGCATTGTAAACCCTTGAAAAGCACATGGAACACTTATAGTCCACTGTTTTACAGAAAAATGCAGTTTTGGTCCTCCAATTTAGAAAATTTCGCATATTGGGCCTTATTGGGCCGAAAATGTCATACTTAGCCCAATAAGCTTGGAATTTATGTTTTTAACCCTCTAAATAGTATATTTTCAGAAATTACATTGTGTAAACTGTTTTGACTCATCTCACCCATCAGATTTCGAGATATTGCACTTTAGGCCCTTT